CACGACATACGTAACACGTCTGAACCTGAATGTGACTCTGCCTTGATACGACTGCTCTGCCGCTCGGCATAGGCATTTAATTGCGAATTGACCAATGAGGGTTCCTGTTTTACGTCGAGACGGCGGCGTTAGCGTGAAAATCACCCGAACCTTTTGTTTACATCCGGTCTATCTCTTATCTGAATATACTGTAGTAAAAGTTTTCTAATTTTCTAGATATTGCCACTTTTAAGCTTTTTAAAAAAATCCCTACCTTTTGCTCATTTTTGCCTATTATGGCTATAAATAACTTCTAGCTTATGTTTTTTTTCCTGGGCTACCATTAATAGTTGGTTGAGACAACCGAGTATTCATTTCATTGAAAACTAGCCCGGCATGCTAGAAAAAATAAATTATTACATTTTGTTTCAATATGAAAACATTTACTAAAGTTTGACTAATTACTATAAAATGTACCAGACTTAATCGGCAAATGATCTTAGACTTACTTAGATTTTTTGCAACATCGCCTACCCATTCTTTTGGAAGATATGCCTCTTGTCACAAGAAGGAGGATGTTGTTACAGAATGAAGGGTGCCCTGCACACTATGATAGTGCATTAAGGGGGTATCTTGATGAAACATTCCCTAGATGATGGATTGGCTGGCTAGGACCTATTTTGTGGCCCCCACGCTCCCCAGACCTGAATCCTTTGGTTTTTGCTACTGGTAGTGCAGCACACAAAATATCCGATTTAAGTTTGAGAAGCTTAAAAACATAATTTTTAAGAAGATGCAGGTTGTGTATAGGAGTCGGTGGTAAACATTTTGAAAATCTGTTGTGAGAATAATAAAAATAATAATAATAATAATAATAATAATAATATTAATACTAATAATAATCATTTATTTCAGGCAATATTTACATTACAAGATGTTAATTTATTTTTTTCCTAATTCTTTATTTGATTTGAATGTTGTGAAAATCAGGGGAAGTAAAAAAATAAAACCTAATGTTCTTTTCATAATTTTGATGCTGCATACAACAATGAATAAAAAAGGATAATGGATAGCTGTTTTAGACATTTGCTAAAATGAAAAGCGACTACAAAGTTGTAATTTGGACACAAAATACAGCTGCACTTATTTTTTATTTGTAGTATTTCACAAGTATTACGACTTCAATGACAAAAGTTGGAGTTATTCAGTTTTTAGTAAAAAGAACCTACAAATATTATACTATTCTGAACGAGCATTAAATAGCTAGTTTTTAGGGTCATTTGCTGATTCAGTCTGGTACATTTTTTTCACAGTTATTAGTCAGACTTTAGTAAAGGCTTTCGCATTGAAACCAAATGTAATAATTTAGTTTGTTTATAATACCGTGCTAGTTTTCAACGACATGAATACTCGGTTGTCTCAATCAACTATTAGTTGTAGCCCAGGAAAAAAATCAAAAGTTAGAAGTGCTATATAGGCATATCAGGCAAGAAAGGAGCAAAAAGTAGGGTTTTTTGAAAAAACCTAAAAGTGCCAAATATCTCGAAAACTAGAAAACCTAAGATCATATTGATTTTATCTGATCGATTTGAAGCCAATCTACCTCCCGCGCCACTCTGGCGTATTATTCTGATGAGTTTTGTTGTAACCATTACCTTGATAGACCTAAATTGAAGAAGTGCTACAAGTGCGGCGAGAAGGGACATCGTTAGAGACAGGGCATGTGTGCATGTGACAGCACCTTCGGCATGGTCCACAAAAACTTTAAAGTGACAGAAGCAGAGTATTGGTGAAATAATGAAATAGCAGAAAACAGAAAGGAATGCATAACTATCAGATGTAGAATAACAAGAGGAAATAGAAAGTACCATAGAGCAAATGGAACAAGAAATAACGTTATGCTCGACTACAAAAAAACAACATAGCATAGAAGATAGCCACGAAAAAGCTAAAACTCTCAGATAAACCGTACCTGGACACTGAACAGCAAATAAAGACTACAGTGATTGTTTCCGAAGTACCACACACCGAACAGAAATTTGAGGAAACTCTGGACGTACCAGAATTCTACATGAGTTAGCTAGAAGAAGCTGCAACGCACTTGAAAACAGGGAAGGCACCAGGACTACATGTAATACCAATTGGGATAGTGAAAACGCTAGGTAAAGAGAAATCGTGCTGTGTGTAATGAATGAATGCTTGAGAATGGGAGTCTTTCCGAAGAGGTGGAAGGGGGCTGGTTTGGTATTTATCCCTAAACCTCCGAAACCCACCAATACAGAAGAAAATATAGACATCTGCGTATGCTGAGTTCGCTTGGAAAGCTACTAGAACGACTGAGATAAGGTAGGCTGAGAAAATACGTCGAGGAAAAGAACGGGCTGGGCTGTTTTCCTCGCAATATGGTCTTAGAAATGGAAAATCTGCCATAGATGCACTTAGTGCAGTGGCACAGCTGGCAAAAGTAGCGGATAGCGGCCGCTACAATAATACGAAGCTTTGTGTTATGGTTGCTTTTGACGTTAAGAATGCCTTTAACACAGCGCAATGGCAGAGAATCGTCTAATATCTCGAGAAGCTAGTCACCCCTAGCTATCTATTGAACATGATAAAGAGCTACTTTTACGAGAGGGCACTTACGGTAGGGCAAAAGACGATGAAGGTAACCATGGGAGGCCGCAGGGTTCCATTCTAGGGCCGTTGCTTTGAAAAAGAAAGTTCTACGATGGGGTTCTTCGGTTACAGATGCTGCCGCAAATTCGCTTGATAAGGTATGCCGACGATCTTGCGATGACAGTGACTTGCAAGGAGAGATATACACTTGAAAGACTCTTGGCATACTCAATCACGAGAATTATCGTACGGATAGAAGAAAATGGCTTAAAATTAGCTCCTGAGAAGACGAATATAGTTATACTTTTGACAGACAAAAGCTAACTTCATTAGCTGTTAGAGTTGATGATTCCGATACTCGGAGCCAAAATGCAATTGAGTATATGGCTTGACATACATCTGAAGATGATTGAAGATATAAGGCGCACCACTGACAAGGTAAATAAGGTCGTTGCATCTCTGATACGGCTTATGCCAGCTGACGGGGGCCCCAGTAGTGAGAGGCGCAGGATTTTGGTCGAGGTGGCAAACTCGATTATGCAGTACGGAGCTCCTATAAATAACAAGGCCTTGAGGAAAGAAATATACATAGATAATATTGAGAAGCCAGCGAAAAGTGATGCTATGCGTGGTATGCTCTTACAGAACGGTGTCGACCGATGTACTGCTGGTGATGGCTGGTATCCCGCCAATTGATTTGCTGACTGCGGAGAGGTGTTCGCTCTATAAAAAGGGCATCGAAGCTACACGCGACGAAAGAGAGAAGCTTTTTGTCAGATGACAGGAGAGATGGGATGCAACTGACCATGGTGCATGGACCAAAAGGCTGATCCCAGATCTTAAAATTTGGATTGACAAGGGAGCGGTGCGGATAGATTACTATACCCCACAGTTCCTCACAGGACTTGGTTGTCTCCTGAAGAGCGTAGGAAAGAGATAGTACCTGGATTGCAGTGAAGAGGATGATACTCTTAATAACCTACTCCAATGTGGTAGGTGGGTTGACTACCAGACACAGCTCGAACTGACGCTCGACGAGAGACTCACTGCTGACAATCTTGCCACGCATATACGCGAGAAAAAATAGGTTGATATTCAACCAATAGTGAGGCGAATGTTGCTGAGTAATGTACGGGAGAACAAAAACAGCCCAAGGAACCAAAAGTAGATTTCTACTTTGCTCGGTTGTACATGTAAATAGTATCAAAGTTTGTATGTGTACAATAGTGACTAATACCATCTGTATAAGAACCTAGCACAAGACTACCCGCTATGAAGATATTCTGGAAGCTTTACCGCGGTGGGATGTACCTGTATAACGATCGACTGAGGGATTTTATTGAGTATTCCATTTCTGGAAAATCTCACACTTCGGACAGGAAGAGCCTGCAAGGCAATACTGTCAAGTTTTTCTGCCTGGTGGCTATAAAAGCTTTCTCCTGCCAAAAATTATGACCTGAAACGTGAAACATATTTATCTCAACGTCACACGGGCATTTGCCCCAGTGTCGCCGATCCTACTCATCTTTCGGTATTTCTACCCAAATGAGACTTTTTGTTTACCAAAGTATTTTCCACGATTTTTTTAATAGTTCAGATACATCCAGATTTGAATTATACGTAGTCTATGTAGTCGTATGCCCCAAACCTACCAGTTAAACATGACCGTGCAGCAGACAAGCAATAAGGAAACCGAAGCTCGCCTGTATTTAACTGTATATTAAGTTAAAATGGTCTTGAGGCTTAAGGTTCTGGGGTTGTATTAACTATGTCCCGATAGCCAATACATATAGGTTTAAATTTTTGGACTTACCCGTGTGATGTAGGTGCTCGACCGAAAAGCCGGCCAAGTGTACTTGAAGGAAAATAGGGAAACCAAATCGAGATCCTACAAATTAACTGCCGGAGAATGTCCGAACACCACAATACCTCAACAGGCTATATATGCAACCGCTTGCGCTTGCCAGTACCGGCATGGGTATCATGTAAAAAACCTACAAAACTACAGACTAGGTAGTTTTTAGGGTGCAAACAGTCATTCCACGTTTGCTCACTAGGATCGTTGTGAACATCCATCTATGCAGGAATCACTCAACTAAACTACACGCATTATTGGTTGCATAGTTTTGTGAGGCTGAGTGATCCGTATCTGTAGTTTTTATCTCTGAGAAGAAAATTGGTTGAATAGAAAGATCGCAACTGTATGATTAAAAATCGCCTACAAGATGGCGTCTGGCATACAGGCGTGTGCTCGATGCTCAGATAATTTCATTGTGAACACCAAGAATATTTCTTGCGATTTTTGCAAAAAGTTGTTTCATCATCATTGTGCTGAGGTCGACGACAAATTAGCTAAAGTTAAGCGTGATTGTGCGGGAATCAAATGGTTCTGCAGCGGTTGTCTTCCAATGATAAATGGCAAGCTGAAAATGGCAGATTTTGGGGAAGCAGTATTTAATCGAATACCTGAAAAGTCTGAAGTTAAAATGGTATCTGGTTCACGGGCGTCAAGGAGCAGTGCTAGTGTGCCCGAAAGTGATTTAGCTGTATTGGAAAAAGAGATTGAGTGCCTGGTAAGAGAAAAAAATTTGATCGATAAAATCGCAAACGAGAGAGGTTATATTGTGGAAATTCAGAAAAAACTCATAAGTGACCTTGAAGATAAATTCCGAAGTCAGCCAGTGGGCAACAGCAGCAAAAACAAAGATTGTGTTTCGTACAGTGCTATCGTGAAAAAAATGGACCATTCATATTTGTTGATTAAGCCTGCAGATCGTTCTACTTCGTACAAAACTGTTGAAAATGATTTTAAATCTCGTTATTCGCCTGGTGCTCTTAATGTCAATATCAACAAGACTAAACTCACCAAAAATGGTCTGATGATCAGCTGTAATAGTAAAAAAGATGTGGAGACTCTAAAAGATTCTCTAAAATCTGATTTAGGAAATAAGTTCGATGTTTGTGAGCCTACCAAAATGTTTCCTAGAATGTTGATACAGGGTGTACCTAACGACTGTTTCAAAAATCCTGGTCCAGATAAACTTGAATTTGTTGATAGTTTTGTTGACGATTTAATATTCAATAACAATTTAGGTGTTAATTCAGATGATATAAAAATAATTAGTTGCTATAAGGTTAAAAATACAAAAAATGTTATCGAGGTGGTTCCTTCTGTGTTTAATTTACTTAGTAGCAAAGGGTTTGTTTTTATTGGCTGGGTGAGATGTACTGTCAGGGAAAATTTATATTTGCTACGTTGTTACAAATGTTGTGAATTTGGTCGTGGTAAGAAAGATTGCCGAAGCAAGGATGTTGTCTGTCCTAAGTGCTCAGGTTTTCATGAATTTAGAGATTGTAAAGCTGATGATTCTTGTTGTCCTAACTGTAAGTTTCGTAATGATAGATATAAAACTAACTCGTGTACAAAGCATGTTGCAAGTGATACCTCTTGCAGTTATTACAAAATGAAGATCGATAATTTGAAAATGCAGATTGCTTATGAATAATTGCACAAAAACCATTTTGTTGTTGGACACCTGAATCTAAGATCTCTGTTTGCTGGCTTTGATTCCTTTGTAGATTTGTTGACTACTGATAACTATGATATTATGGGTATCTCCGAAACATGGATTAATAATGATTTTACAGCAGATATAGTAAATATTCCTGAGTACACTTTTTTCCATACTGATCGAGTAGGACGTGGAGGAGGAGTTGGTGTTTATTTAAGGGATTCACTGAGAGGTAAGCTGGTATTGCAAGATTTTTTATGTCCAGATGGTATGGAGCAGGTTTGTGCTGAAATAGTGTTGAATAATCTAAAAATTTTGGTTTGTGTTATCTACAGAGCTCCTTCGAGCAGATTATCAAGTTTTATTGATCATATAGACAACTTTCTCTCATTTGTGTCTCCTCAGTATGATAATATATGCTTGCTGGGTGATATAAACGTTGATCAAATTACTGACCATTCTTTTCTAGATTGCATTGCGTGCTACGATATGGTATCTCACATCACCCAACCAACTAGGATAACTTTAACCACGGCAACCTCCATAGATGTCATTTGTACAACAAATAACTTAGCTGAATCATTAATTTCAACTAGCTCTGTACCTGTTCCGAATTTGTCAGATCATAATGTAGTCAGATGTGACTTCAACATCACACGGCCTAAGAATTTTCAAAAGACTGTCAAATATAGAGATTTTAAACACTGTTGTAAAGATCAGTTTTTGGTGGATTTGTATAAAATCCCATGGGACGATATATATTACATCACTAACTTAGAGGATAAAGCTACGTTCTTTTCTAATCATATTTTGGATTTGTTTGATGTCCATGCTCCTGTTATTTCATCACGTATTACTAAACCTTATGCTCCATGGCTCACAGGTGGCATAAAATTTTTGATCTCCGAGAGAAATAAAGCCTTTAGAAAATATCAGATTTTAAAAAGTCCAGCTAGTCTCGAATATTACCAGAAATTAAGAAATGATGTCATTTCCGCTATTAGGCGGGAGAAAGCAGCATATCTAAGCTTCAATGAACAACTAAATAGTAACAAGCATCTCTGGAAAGCTGTACATTCATTGAAACTCAAAACTAATGTAGATAGATCTTTACCTACACAGTTGAAGAATGCCGATGAAGTAAACAATTATTTTTCTTCCGTTTTCACGCCTTCGGGCAATTGCAAGGATCTAGTTGATAAATTTAATAGTACCAAAATTAATGAAAGTGCTAGATTTGAATTTAGTTTTGCTACCCCACAAAATGTGCTAGACATTATTCTGTCCCTAAAATCTAATGCAGCAGGTTCGGATGGTATAACAGTCTCAATGCTGAAGCTTTGCTTGCCTCGAGTATTACTACCCCTGACGCATTTATTGAACTGTTGCCTGGAGGCTGGGTATTTCCCTGATGCTTGGAAACTATCTCTTGTCAAACCCTTGCCTAAATGTAAAAATCCAAAATGTCTCTCAGACTTAAGACCTATAACTTTGATTCCTGTTATATCGAAGATATTGGAGAAATTGATTAAACATCAGGTTTATCATTATTTCTCTAAAAATGATTTCTTTCCCAAGTGTCAATCTGGTTTCCGCAGTGGTTTTTCAGACATACCTCTCATGTTTCCTTAAAGAGATTTCAGCTTGGTTGGATGTGTATAGAAAATGCTTGCAAGTACCATATAGCAGTGTTTACACATAAGATCATATCTTCTAGATCCCCCTTGTATCTTTATGAGAAATTTGTTTTCAGGCGAAATAATTCAGACATTGATTTCAGACACAAAAAAAGACTAGAGATCCCTATGTATAAAACAACTTTATTTCGTAGTTCATACACTTACAATGCTATCCTGATTTATAACGAATTAGATGACAATATAAAGGATTGGCCAGTAAACAGATTTCGTAAGCATGTGAAACAGATTTATTTGTCATTGTAGTAATTGTGGAAAAGTTAGTTTTTAATTCTTACATTTAATTTTATTTTACGTAATATATGTGTGTATATATGTATGCTAGGAAGCTATCAAGCTCGTTGTTTTGAAGCGTCTTTTGCTTGTCAAAGTTTCCTTTGATTGAGTGTTTCAATTTAGTATTTGGGTAGGTTAAGTAGAGTAGCCAAGAGCTAGACTTCGCCTACGTAGAGGTCACATTATGTTGTAGTGTATATAATGAGCCTAATAAAGACATTTTATTATTATTATTATTATTATGTGTATTGCTCTGCTTGTGTATAAAATCAGTGATATTTGCTTTGTAGGAAAATCGTTACTGAATATGCTGAATATGACGGGTTATTTATATGTTGTGCTTTCTGAAGAGAGGTTATGTTCAAAGTTATAAATTACGGGAAATCATCACCACGCCCGCGCTGTGTGTAATTACTGTTGGCATGTATATGGCTTGTACTTCGACAGTGTACAGTGAATATAATTATTTCTGATCTCTTTCATTTTTGAAATTCAGCAAATTTGTATATGTTATTTCCAGAATGTATAGTAGTAGTAGTATACGTTTATTTTTTCCCCCAAAATACAATTTGATAATAAATACAAATGATAACTTTAGTACAATAATAAACGTAAAATAAAACATAACGCCTGACTTTCACAAAATAATCTTAAGATAACATGTTTTATAAGTCACACAAAGTTGTTAAATTGTCTTGTAAAGCCCATTGAAACCAAAATAGTTGGTTGTGCACGTGCAGATTTTTCTTTGATATAATTTTGATAATAAATATTGCTTAGAGCAGGATTTTATACAACAAGCACATTGTAAGTATGGAAGGTAAGGAGGAGTAGCACTTATATAATAAAGTTTATTCGACTAACTACAGAAATATGGAGGGTGAGGAAGAGTAATACTAGCGTAGTACGATTTCTAGTACATAATTTCTACCAGATTTCGTGTCTCTTGTCTACCAATTAAAAAAATATATTTTTTTAATAAAGATTTTATCAAAGACAATGAGTTTATCTTATCAACATACATACGGTACACGTATAGCAAGCAATTATAAATTTTACATGATAGGTAGGTGTGGTATGGCAAGCTTACATTTCTTTGAAAAGTTTGTATTTTTAAGTTTTCATTTTCTTTATATCTATCTATAACAAAAAGTGTCTGCGCAACTAAGTTCTAGCTTTAAATCTTGATTAAGTGTATTTCCGACAAGAATCCAATGGAATTATCATCAACACATACAACTTACAGCTTAGACGTCCAGTAATGCCATCTCTGCATCAGATGTTACATAACATCAGGGCCAAACATTGATAACTAAAGCCTCAGGACGTTTAGGAAACATATGTACAACTAAAACCCGTATCGTCAGTCGCCAATACAATTGTAGGGCGCCTTTATGGCCTCCTTAATTGTCATATTTTTCTACTTCTCCGTGTCAGCGCTCTATTTTGAGGTTGTCACAAACATCTATTTGCATCAAATTGTCCTTGCTTTTGAGTTATATCATGTTTAATCAGCCTGAAATTTCCTAAAATTTAAAAAGAAAACATATCTACACAATAGGAGAGCGCTGACGCTGACACGGGACAAGTGTAATCTAGAAATTTTTGAAGGAGAGAAAGGAGTATAACAATCAAGGACGCCATAAACGCGCTCTACAATTGTAGGGACGACTGACGATACGGGCCTAAGTGCTAAGTTAACATCTTGTAGAAAAACCTACAAAATTTTGGACCCGCACGCCTATTATGTAAAAACGTCAAAAAACCGACGAAATGTCATCTTGCAGACTTGGTAGCTTTTTGTGTTCAAATAGCTCATTCCACGTTTGCTTGCTATAATCGCTGTTGACTGACGTTTAAGCAACGAACACAGCTACAAAACTAGTTCACAACAAGTCTACAACAGCTTATGCTAAGTTAACATCTTGTAGAACCGCCGACGAAATGTCACTTTTTGAGATACGTAATACCCGTGCCGTTGCGCGATCAACAGGTGCTCATCTAACGCGCCAAATTTAAATATTCGAATATCTGCGCGTCCATATTCCATTGATTTTTTTAATAACCCTGATGAGAAGCGCCAAGATAAAGACTAAAACGTTGCCCCCACGAAAATATTCAAGAAGTTATCTATGATTAACTGATTAACCTTGGGGTGCTGACAATGTTTTCCTCACTGTTTCGTTCATTCTGAACAAAAACTAATTCTAAGTATTATCTCAAGCTTATTGCAAGTTATGAAATTGTAAAAATTGTCATTTTCATTTCACTGAAACATTCGTATGACAGCACTGTTAGAATATTTGGTTCTGCTAGTGTGTCGTAGATGGCACTAGGAACTTTAATCCCTTTTATCACCGTTTTTAATGCCTAATTTAGTTAGGTATCATTAGGCATTGATTAACGTATTCCACCTGCCCAATCAAACTAGGCATTAGAGAGGCGCAAAAAAGGTTTAAGGTCCCTGTGGTCCTAACGCCATCTATGAGGCAGTAGCAGAATCAAACACTCTCTTCAAAGTAGATTTATAATTCATGTTTGTGTTCTGCTACTGCGCCATATCTTTCAGATATCCTTTTAGACACCGGAATACAGAATATGACAGGCTATATTCAGCTAGAATACAACCAATCAAGGGCCCCAGACCTCTCTCCCTAGAAATCCATGTCGTTTTCGAAAAAAATATATTTTGTGTGTCTTGGCGTACAACATTACCTTGCTAGACCTTGAATCGTAGCAGTAGTACAATTAGGTCTAATAACAGTAGTAGAGTCATGTACGAAATCATTTTTGGTATTTATTTTGCGTATTAAATTAGCACTCAATGACTCGCTTCCCCGTTCACTCCACCACTGGTAATATGGTTGCTATCTAAAGCAGTGGTCGCCAACCTTTTCAG